TAGTACTTTTTGTACAATTTTAGTACACAGTTTTAATACACATTCAACCTCCATATCTCAATTCCAGATACCAACACAGACCTCAATATCAAATTTGAGGATTCCAGCCATATCTCTTCACCAAATACCAAAATGTTGTACCATTTAGTACTTTTCGTGCAAATATAGGACCCATTTCAAAACCACCACCAAATCTTAAACACAGATACCATCAGTTAGGTAAGTATTAAATTTCAGAATTCTGTCTATATCCCTTCCCCATTACCAAATATAGAACAATTCAGTACTATTCTTACATTTATAGTTCACCATTCCGAAGAAAAAACTCCATAAGTCCAGGCTACACATGAATAGCGACTCTATACTAAATTTTCTGAATTCAAGATCTATCCCAATTCCAAACTATACTCATTATACAGTACTACTTAGTGCTTTTCGTGCTCTTGTTGTACACATTTCTAAACTACCTCTTTATCACCTATCACTAGCAGAATCCTACTTCAAAATTTCAGCTTCATCTGCTCACCCTAAACTCAACTTCTCTTAATTTAGTACCGAACCACCTTCATGTATCGAACTTATTTTCCAACATTAATTCTCTTACGAAATTACAATATGGTACCATTTTAGAATTTTAGCACCAGTTTAGAACTTTTCGTAATCTTAAAGTTGGAATTCAAGAAAACCCTTTAGCACATCTATCCTGCACTACTTCAGTGACACTTATTCCCAATTTCAGATTCTAGCAAAGTCTATTTTTGTACAATTGAAAGTATTCAACTTTTAGTACTTTTCCTACCATTTTATTAAGAGTTTCCAAAAACCCAACCTTATCAAACGCCTACGCACCTAGACTGAGCCTCGAGGAAGGTTATTCCTTCAGCCGTTTCGTCTGGTCGTTGAACTTCGGTCTGTCAGTTTTTTTATTGCTTTTTTATAAATGCGTAGATTTAATAAATGCCGATTTTTAAGATATTATCTTTCTGACAACGCAGTGTTAAATAGCTCACGAACGTTTCGTGTTTTGTTTGACAGTCAAACATCTTAAGTTTGGTATATAATTCCTCGTCTTACAGACCATTGAGTTATAGTATCAAAATGGGTTCTTGGAAAGTTGACCGGAAAGTTTTTTCAGGGAGGAAGTTCAGTTTTGATTCAATGGGTACGTAAAAAGCTGAATTGTGAATTTTGGAGAGAAGGTGCATCGCAAAATCTGGCAATGCATTTAGAAAATTTACAGTTTAGTGCGTTTTATGGGCTTTTCTAAGACCCTGCGAATCGTGACATAACTATGAATGCTTAGCGCTACCGTGGGATGATATCCATTTTTTTAGCCCAAAAGCAAGAGCTCAACACTTGCATGAAATAAAATTCAAATGGACAGTACAGTCAATTGAAATACCGCTTTTTTGTAATTTTCTAAATTTTATTTTTTTATACCCTCCACCATAGTAACAACTCGAAATATACATTTTAGACCCTACAAAGTATATATATTCTTGATCAGCATAAGATTCTATGTAGATTTATAAATCAGTTCAGCTTCCGAACGAAATGAAGTAGGTTGATAAAATTTTACTTAAATTTAAATTGTGTCTACAGGACTTTTGGTATTGAAAATGGGCCATGTAGGTCCACGTTTTGGTATAGCCCCCATACAATGGCACCTCCCTATTTTCGGTATTTTGGTGATTTTAGCGAAATTATTCAGGGGAAATGTTTCAAATTTGGAATTTTAATGTTACTATTACTATTACAACCTGTGACAGAAAATTGTCCGCGCAGGTCCATGCCTTTGTATAGCCCACATATAACGCTACCTCCCGATATTGGGTATTTTGATGATTTTGGGGACATTATTCACCGGAATTGTTTCAAATTTGGTATTTGTAGTTCGTAATGGATACTACAGCCTATAACAGAAAATTGCGTGTGAAGGTCCACGTCATCGTATAGCCCCCATATAATAGTACCTACTTATATTCGGTATTTTGATGATTTTAGCTACATTATTCACCGATTTTTTCAAGTTTCGTATTTGAATGTTGTAATGGTATGTGACAAAAGTTACCTATGCTGGTCCATGTCGTCGTATAGACCCTAATATAACGGCTATATTCGGTATTTTTAAGATTTTAGCAGAATTTTTTTTAACGGATTTAACTTCTTGAAAAATGCCAAATTCGTTCCAAATTAACTTACAGTTTTCTTACTTGTTTCTTTTTAATATCCAAATATATATATAAATAACCAAATATTTAGCTATAATTTTTTTCTACATTTTACCTAAATTTAATCAAAAAATGTTCACTGGTTCAATTATATACGCTAAGCCGTATGCACACACACATATATACTTATTCATATCATCCAACTAGTGTGTGTCTGTGTGTATAGTGTCACTTATATCACAAATTGACAAATTAAATGGAAGCAAAGAAAAGAATGGCATTGTGGCGCCTGTCAATGTGTCATAAACCACCAATGTTCGTATACATGTGGATAACACTATCTGTCTATCGATGCGACGAGGGTTGATATTAATGTTTTGGATATAGAAAATGGTAATAAATTCGGAATAGTTTTTATTTTTCTGAGATCCCTAAAATTAGGTCGTCTCTTGGGTGCATATGATACAGAAAAAATATTCACATCGAAGAAATAGAAATGGGGATTTTTGAAAACCATATTCCTTAAAATTCCTGTACTGGAAAATATCGTAATTTTGGGATTGGAAATAGTATTTTTTTTTTAATTCAATATTTCTTTACGTACCCCAAAGCACTATATAAAATGTCAAAGTTCTACATCAAATGCTGCGAAATATATCTCAAAAAGTTGTAGTCCCCTTGCCAATGGTTATGGATGAGAAAGAACTCAAAATTCTTTTGAGGTTTAGATAAAAAAAGTCCGAGTACTATCAAAACCGATGGGATTTTCCAAAACCAAAACTGGCTCTTTGATAGGAAAATTATAAGTTTGCAGCGATTTCGAAAAAAGGTTCGTTTTGCCGAAAATAAAAAAAAATATCATTTTTTCTTTATCGATATTCCTTGAAGATTATGCTTTGTAGGATTATTTTGCATAGGTACGGATCTAACCCATCTAAAATTTGTAGGATTTAGACTTTTGGCGTTTTCTAGAAGAGAATTTTAGAATAGAATTTTATGACAAATATTTTTTGGTGACCAAATAGTCTTCGTGCTTATATATGAAATGTTGTTCAAAACACTACATACCTAAAATGAACGAATTCCAAGGTATCTTAATCTGAAAATTTCAAAAAATGTGACAGAGGGGGTTCTTGCCCCTATGTTTAGGCAACATTGCGATGTACACTTCCAAAACGCCGATACAGTTGTTTTCTATTTTTAGATCTAGTTGCATAAACTGTTGGATCTGTCCCGTAATTATTTTTTGTGTTGGGAAATTTAATAATGAAATCCCCTTATTGGGGCTGTACCTTAACGAAGATCTATAAATAGTCCTGCACTTATTTTTTGTGTGACGAAATTAAATAATTAAATCCCGATATTGGGTTTGTACCTTAACGAAGATCTATAAATAGTGTGATCTAATTGTTTCGGTTGTGCTATTTGATGACTTCATAGATCATGAGAAACAGTGATTGCGTGGCCTCAAAGTCGATAAGGTGGTCTAACCAGCTCCCTATTATGTTGCCAGCTAGTCAATTTTCTATGAAAACAGAACCTAAAATTGTGTGAACTCTATTTGTATAGCCTCAGACATATGGGTACATAGGGTATATATCACTGAAAACGGTCAAAGAGTGACTCTAGATCTCTTTGGACGCAATCCGATTCAGCACATTGGGATTCAATAAAGCGGTGACCTTTCGTCCGTCCTTCTGCCTGTTCATCCAGTTGGCTGGCTGGAGTAGGGAGTATCCGATTTGGTGCATCATACTTAGAGTTCAGAGGTTGATAATATCGGCCAACTGCTCATGGTACCTCCCCCACAAAGGTAAATTTTTTATGTCATAGGAAGAGTAAGAATCATCTGATTCAAACTAAGCTTATCCCAATATTTGTATCAGCACTATGACAGTCGCGAAAAAGGATATCGGCCCATTCCATAAAGAACCTCCTCTTATAAAGGATCAATATTTGGAATACGCTTGATTATTATAAAATGAGAAATAAGAGTCCGATTGTATTCAAATTTCGCAAAGCCAACCTATTCTAGATACAGCAAATGTTATTCTGGCATCACCTGTGTGTTTGGATTCTCATCGGTCCATCCCCAGCGCTCAAGAATTTGTACGCCCAGTAACATATAAATGTGCATGCATTGTTGTTAGGGGAGAGGGAGTCACTCCTCCCTCTCTCACGAGCTTAATTTTAAGTCTGTTAAACGTTTGTTTATGGTGAAAAGGTTTGTTTACACATTATGTTAGTCTTATTTACAATAAGTCTTTTTCGTTTCTTTATAGTATACTTTTAGGCTCTCTCCATGTTTTTGATAGAAAAAGTATTGTTAGCGGCACTCCCAAAATCTCATTGATTTGTAAACGATCTTGCAACACTGTTGCTTATGAAATAATAATTTTTGGAATGTCAATTTATTGTAAATATTTAACGAAACTTAGAAAAAATGTCAAGTAGCGTCCCTGAGTACCGCCATTTTCTGTCCTGAATAAATACCAATAAGTTGGATAATACGCTGTGCTCAGGAACTGATTTTTTGAACTATTTTAAAAGTTTTTGTGGTTTCATACCAAAAAGTATGGCTTGTTTTATATTTACTATTTTATAGTTTTTTAATTCCTAATTTTTTTTTGTAATTTAGGAATTTTAATAGAAATACATTTTGTGAAATAAATCAACTTTTATGGAACAAGTTGTATTTTATTCAAAATCCCAGTGGAAACCACCAGCTCGGCCTACTTGCCTTTTCAACATTTTAAAATTCTTTTTGTGGCTCATCCTGGGCCAACTGCAGCGTCTACAATAACCTGCCAATCTCGCAGTAAGTAGAAAATGGAGTTATCAAATTCAGAAGGTCAGCAACACAATGATCACAATATTTCACTAAGTCAAAAATCCCCTGACGAAAATGAGAAATATTGCATAGAATGCAACAAAAAATTCAACTGCAAAAATTCCACGTCGGACATAACCCAAAAATGTCCGCAGTGCTCCGTCATACGACCTAACTCACCAGCATCCACTGCTACAACTCGGAGTTCTGCTCATTCTAACAAGTCACATTCGCGTAAAATTCAATTACAACTTAAAAGACTTGAAGAAGAGCGAATATTTAATACAGAATATCTAAATAAAAAATACCAACTTCTTGAGGAAGCCGAAGATATAAGTGATACTTCGTCTAACAAATCCCGAACAGTACAAAATTGGCTAAATAAAGTTCCAGATCAAGATGAAACATCAGAAATTCTCCCTGAAGATAGGCATCTATCTGCCGCTAATAATCAATGTACCAACACAAATCAGCAAGCTTCAAGCTTGCCCCACGAGATTGTTTATTGTGACATATCAGGTCACGCCAATACGCAAAATAAACCAAAAACAAACATGCAAATAAATCATAATCACCAAACTGCAAATACTTCATTCGTGCCCATTGTCTCCACTGCTTCTGCGAGTACCTTGTCAATACCAAATCGTGCAATGTACACGGCAACTACAAGCGTCTGCCACCCAGAAGTGCAGTCAGGTGTCATTGATCATCTTCCTCATGTAACCGTAAATCCACATTTACCTCGACCTCCACTAATTCGCAATGCAAATTTTCGTCCTTATCAGCCAACAATTATTAATAATTCTGCTCCCCACACCTTTTTACAAACTGCTCCAATTTCTACCACCATGAATATTTCACCTAATGAGGATCCAGCTCCACTGAATCGCAATACGAATTTCGCTTCTCATCAGCCACGTCAGCAGTCATACATTAAGGATTCAGCTCCACATACGTTCTTACAGAATGAACCGATGTCTTCGACTATGAATATTTCTCCTAATGCCAATACAGCGACATCATTTTGTCCACCTGTAAGTCTGGAACCTCACAACAGGCTACTACAGTCGCACATAAATGCTAGGCAATCCATGCCGAAGGAATTGCCACCATTCTCTGGCAATCCGGAAGAATGGCCCACTTTTATTTCCACTTTGGAATGGTCAACTGCCGCCTGCAACTTCACTAATGCGGAAAACTTAATCCGTCTTCAAAAATCTCTTAAGGGAGAAGCTCTCCAAAGCGTGCAACAAATGTTGATTCATCCTGCTAATGTACCAGGAGTAGTTGAGGTACTTCGATTGCTGTACGGCCAACCTGAAAAAATTATCAATTCAATAAAATATAAAATAAAATCGTCGCCAGTAGTTGATGAAAACAATCTAAAAACACTTACCACATTTGCGATAAAAGTCCGAAGCCTAATTTCCACCATCACCGCCAGCAATTTGTATGATGAAATAAATAATTCATCTCTTCTCTTTGATTTGATACAAAAGCTCCCCCCTTCGTATCAAATGCAATGGGCAAATTACAAAATGCAGTTGATGAACCAAAACAAAAATCCAAATTTATCTGAATTTGACAAATGGATATTCAGCATTGGCATCACTGCCAGTAGTATAGCAGTTGAACCTCACTGTTCGAAAACAACAACAAACCATAAAGACAAAATATCAGCAAATAACAAAAAAGCATACAAAAAAGATTACGTTTATACTCATAGCGATGAACGTAAATGTGTTGTATGCAACAACAACTGCAAAGCAGTAGCTAGCTGTCAAACATTCCTCTCACTCGATCGTGGAGAGAAATGGAATGTGGTGAAAAGGAACAAACTTTGCAAGTTTTGTTTGTGTAAGCACAACGATGAGTGCAGAAAGAAGAAGAAATGTGGTAAAGAGGGGTGCGAATATTTTCACCACTCGTCATTACATCGATATTCACAACCTGCAAATGAACATAATGAAATGTCAAATGACAATGTAAACAATTTGCATATAGAAGAAGTAGTAAACAACTCACATAGTGCTGAAATAAAAAATATTTTGTTCAAAATAATTCCTGTAAAAATATATGGAAAAGATAAAAGCATAAACACATATGCTTTCATAGATGACGGATCTTCAATCAGTTTAATGGACGAGTCGTTAGTGAACCAATTGGATGTGGAGGGCATTTCCAACCCCCTCTGCCTTCGGTGGACTGGAGGTATGGAAAGAACGGAAAATAGTTCACAAAAAGTAAAAATAGGTATTTCAGGTGGAAATGGAAAGCGCTTCAACATGAATGTTTTTACTGTAAATTCGCTAAATTTACCATCCCAATCGCTGGATTATAGAGTTATGGCGCAAAATTATCGCCACTTGCGAAATCTTCCTGTGAAAAGTTATAGTAATGCTGTGCCAATGTTGTTAATTGGATTGAATCATTTCGACCTAGGAATTCATAATAAAGTCCGTGAGGGATCCCCGTATGAGCCCGTTGCTGTACGAACACAACTTGGATGGCTAATATACGGCACAGTCGCAGAGAACAAGAACTCAGGTAAGCACTTTAATTATCATATATGTGAGTGTTCTGCGAGTGATAATGATTTAGACAAGTTGGTCAGAAGCTATTATGCTCTTGATAGCGTGGGGATTAGCATAAAAGACCCTCTTATTGCTGAAAGCGAACAACGCGCGTTGCATCTATTAGATAACTTTACAAAACGAAATGCCAATGGTAACTATATAGTTCCATTATTATGGAAATTCGATTTAGTAAAATTGCCTGACAGTTATGATATGGCCTTCAAACGCCTTGTTTGCTTAGAGCGAAAATTAAAGCAAAATGACGAGCTTTTCAACACATTTAAAGAAACATTGTCAAAATACCTATCTAAGGGCTACATAAGAAAATTGAAAGAAAATGAAATTGATCGAGCCGATGGAAGAGTTTGGTATCTACCAATTTTCGCTGTCTTTAATAGAAACAAACCCGGTAAATCGCGCGTAGTTTGGGATGCAGCAGCAAAATCAAATGGATCATCTTTAAATTCATTTCTTTTAAAAGGACCTGACTTTCTAGCTTCATTACCATCAATTCTTTTTAAATTTCGGCAAAAATCTGTGGCTATATGTGGAGACATTGAGGAGATGTTCCACCAAATTTATATACGGCGTGAAGATCGCGACGTACAAAGATTTTTGTGGCGAGAGTGTATGCAGGAGAAAATTCCCGAAATATACGTAATGGATGTAATGATATTCGGTGCCACATGTGCTCCAAGCATTTCACAGTATGTGAAAAATCATAATGCAGCTCAATTTAAAAGACAATTTCCTACTGCATCCAAATCAATAATAGAAAATCATTATGTAGACGATCTTCTGGATTCCGTGGATACTGCTCAGGAGGCTATTCAATTAATTACCGAAGTGTCATATATTCACCGCCAAGCCGGTTTTAATATTCGTAATTGGATCTGTAACAACCAATTTGTAATGGATTCTCTTCCTACAATCGAAGCACAGAACGTTAAATGCCTAAATTTCAAAGAAAACCAACAGATTGAGAAGGTTTTGGGAGTATTTTGGGAATATTTGGAGGATGTAATAACATTCAAAATTTCTAACTGGCTTATGGAAAGCGATATATTTTCGAATAAAAAATCTCCCACTAAAAGGCAAATGCTAAGATTAGTTATGTCTATTTACGACCCGCTCGGTCTCATCGGACACATTATAATGTATGTAAAGATTCTTATGCAAGAAGTTTGGAGGGCCAAAATAGAGTGGGACGAATCGATTCCCCTTGAATTGAACCGAAAGTGGATCCAATGGGTCAATATTTTACCCGAAATACAAAATATTAAAATTCCCCGTTGTTATTTAAGATCTTTTGATACCCATACAGATACAGAGGTGCAACTGCATACCTTTGTCGACGCAAGCAAAGATGGTTATGCAGCCGTCTGCTATTTCAGATTGAAAAAGAATGATACAATCGTTTGCTCCATTGTGGGGTCGAAAACCAGGGTAGCACCTATTAAGATTACATCTGTGCCACGTCTTGAACTTATGGCCGCCCTTATAGGTTCTCGTTTTGCCAAATTTGTAATGGAAAATCATGATATTAAAATATCTAAAAAATATTATTGGTCTGATTCAAAAACAGTGCTAAGCTGGATCAATTCTGATGCCAGAAAATATAATCAGTTTGTGGCTTTTCGAGTCACAGAGATTTTAGAGTTGTCTTCGCTCAATGAATGGAAGTGGGTCCCAAGCAAGCAAAACGTAGCTGACGATGCTACAAAATGGTCGAAGATACCTGTAATTTCTATAGATAGTAGATGGTTTAACGGTCCAGATTTTTTACATTTGCCTGAGGAGGAGTGGCCTAAAACAAGTGCTCATCCTGAGCCAACGGAAGTAGAACGAGTACATCATTCTTTTAAAATTACAACATTATATACAACCTTTGATGTACTCAGATTTTCGAAATGGGTCCGCCTTTTAAGGACGGCTGCATATGTACTACGATTTATTAACAATTGTCGCAGAATTAAGAAACAAACTCATGAATTAACTCAAGAGGAGCTAAAACGAGCAGAAACAATTTTATATAGGCAGGCTCAAAGTGAAACATATTCCGCAGAAATATCACAACTTATGTCGAAAGCCTCTATACACAAATCCAGCGATATTTATTGCAAATCACCGTATCTGGAAGATGGCGTTTTACGTGTGTATGGAAGAATTGATGAAGCAGATGTGCCTTGGGAACAAAAACGCCCTATTATCTTACCTCGAGAATGTCATATAACAAAACTGATATTGTTACACTATCATGAGAAATTTCACCATATGAATCATGAGACAGCCATCAATGAAATCAGACAAAAATTCTCGATTTCCAGACTACGTACGACATTTAAAACAATAACACGATCCTGTCAAATGTGTAAAATCCACAAAGCTATTCCACAAAGTCCACAAATGGCAAAATTGCCTAGAGCACGACTGGCTTCATTCGGTGCACCATTTTCTTTTACCGGAATAGATTTCTTTGGTCCCATATTGGTCACCGTCAATCGTCACAAGGAAAAAAGATATGGATGTCTGTTTACATGTTTGACCATACGAGCAATTCACATCGAGGTTGCATATTCGCTGACAACAAGTTCATGTATTCTAGCCATTCGAAATTTTATGGCACGAAGAGGAATTCCACTTGAATTCTATAGTGACAATGGCACAAATTTTGTTGGCGCAGAGAGAGAGTTACGTGAGGCGGTAACTGAGGTAGATAAAGATGAGTTAGTAAAAACTTTCACTAGTACTACGACAAAATGGAATTTTAATCCTCCTGCCTCACCTCACATGGGAGGTGCGTGGGAGCGGCTTGTACGATCAATTAAAACTATTTTATATAAAATTATACCAGCAAGGTGTCCTAGTGATGAGCTCCTATTAAGTACCTTAATAGAAGTTGAAAATATCGTAAATTCTAGGCCTCTTGCTTATGTTCCTGTGGACGACGAAACGTCAGAGGCTTTAACTCCAAATCACTTCCTAGTGGGAAGTTCAAGTGGGTTAAAACCGATATCAGTTTGCAGCGACAGTGGCATATTATTAAAGCAAAATTGGCTGCTTTCACAACAATATGCAAACATATTTTGGAAAAAGTGGTTAGCTGAATTCTTGCCTTCGTTAACTTGTAGGTCGAAATGGTACGAAAAATCTAAACCATTATGTCAGGGGGACTTAGTGATTATTGTTGATCCTTCTCTACCTCGAAATGTTTGGCTGCGTGGTAAAGTACTTCAAACGAGATTGGCAAGTGATGGACAGGTCCGTAGTGCAAAAGTGCTCACACAACGAGGTATCATGGATCGGCCTGTAACTAAATTGGCAATTTTGGACGTAGCCCCTCAACGAGAGTCTGGCAGCGGAAAGGTTCCTTGCCATACTGCGGGGGGAATGTTAGCGGCACTCCCAAAATCTCATTGATTTGTAAACGATCTTGCAACACTGTTGCTTATGAAATAATAATTTTTGGAATGTCAATTTATTGTAAATATTTAACGAAACTTAGAAAAAATGTCAAGTAGCGTCCCTGAGTACCGCCATTTTCTGTCCTGAATAAATACCAATAAGTTGGATAATACGCTGTGCTCAGGAACTGATTTTTTGAACTATTTTAAAAGTTTTTGTGGTTTCATACCAAAAAGTATGGCTTGTTTTATATTTACTATTTTATAGTTTTTTAATTCCTAATTTTTTTTTGTAATTTAGGAATTTTAATAGAAATACATTTTGTGAAATAAATCAACTTTTATGGAACAAGTTGTATTTTATTCAAAATCCCAGTGGAAACCACCAGCTCGGCCTACTTGCCTTTTCAACAAGTATATTTCTTTTATTGACATTTGGAATCCCCTTGGGAACGCAAAAACACGCAACAGGACTCAGCACCATCGCACTCAGCACGCGATGAGGTTCCTCGCTTCATTTCCAGCGCACAATGGCCACCAAAATCTCCGGATACAAATCCGTTGGACTATTGAGCCTAGAGCATTTTGGAAAGTAAGGTTGGCACTAAATGTGTCGATCACCTCAAGTAAGCGCTTCGTCGAGAATGGGCCAAAATACGGAGCAACATTCGGGCAGTGTATGACGGTTTCATTGGCCGTTTGAAGGCCATTATTCGTGTCAAAGGTGAAATTTGATATTGAGGTCTACGTTGGTATCTGCGATTGATATTTGTGGTTTGGAGTTGAATCCTCTGTTTGTAAGAAATGTACTATATAGTACTATATTTGACATTGGGTGCAGGGATAGTGCTAAAATACGGAAATTTGATATAGAGTCACTGTAGGTGTCTGTGGTTAACATATGGGGGTGGTTTTGGAAATGTGTATTATTATTTTACGACAAGTACTAAATGGTACTAAATTGGGTATTGGATAATGAAATAGATTTAAAAGTCTGAATTTTGATAAGAAGGTCTACGTGGAGTTGAGTCCTATAATTGTACAAAAGGTACAAAATAGTTCGATAGTTCGGGGGTGGTTTTAGATTTTTTATACATTTTCGTAATTGTTGTCCCTTTTAGTGACCCTTTTAGTACGAATTTCAAAAAACCCATCCTTATCACACACCCAAGCTCTAAGGCTGACTCTCGCGCAAAATTTCAGGATTCTAGCTTCAGCCATTTTCATATGTGAAAGCTAAATTTGATCTTTTTGGAAAAATTGAAATTGTTCATACGCTACAAAGTCAGATACATGATGTAAATTGGTTTTAGTCGGATATTGACCTATCGTTAACTTCAAAACTCGGTATTTATAGTTTCATCTATATTGTAACCAATTCTTGTAAAAATATTATATGTATCATATGTTGGAGCACACGCCTTCGTGTCCCTTCAGTTGTCGGGTTTAAAAATCATCAAACCCTACTCTGCTTAAACCTCTCTTTTTATATTCAAATGTCTCTATTATTTTTCATTTCCTTTTAAACGATCTTTTCACGTTTTCTTTGTGCCAACTATGTTGCCTTTACATAAATCCTAACCGTCATATCCATACCTCCCTCCAATTTAAGTAGCTACAATTGACTGAGTCTTACTAATGTGTGTATATAAAAGCCACTTAAATATAATTATGAAACAGTGAGGGCGATGTTGGGAAAGAAAATTCGTTAAAGCTTTTCATACCGATTATGATGTGGATGCCGGATGATACCACTACAAACCGTCAGTAGAAGCCTTATATCACAGAAAAACATGTATATTTCTTAATACAGTGTATCGACATATATTTTGAAAACAAAATCGCTCATGTACATATATGCTAGGCCTGTTTCTGTCTGTATAAAGCTCATAGTTCAATTTTCATTCCATTCCATTTGTTTTGAGGTTGTTTGCTTTCACCAACACTGAAGGTTTTGTAAATTGGAAAGAGCCAGCTAACACTGAATGCTGTGTGAGTATGTATGTGTATGTTTATGAGAGCCAACTAAAAAAATGATTAACATTCGCCACAAAATGTGGAAAATCCAATAATGTCTGCAGTCTACATAACATCAACACCAGATGTGGGCCATAGGGTATGGCAAATGCCAAAAACACTAAAATAGCTGAAAAATCGATGAGACTACATTTCAAACAAATAAACAAACTCATTTGCCATACATTCCAATGTGGGCTGCCAACCATACTTCAGATAATTAAATTGCGAAAAAAAATATTGCATACTTTTAGGTATTAAGCATAATGGTGCAGTTAGTGGGGCATACAATTGAAAATAGATATTATGGCATATTTTTAGGCGTTACAAAGTAAATGTGTTACAGAAGTTGGGAACTATGAAAAATGTGATACCTAATGATTATTTTCTTTATAATTGTAGAATAGTTTGTAACACCTCGAAATATACATTTAAGACGCCACAAAGTATATACATATATTCTTCATCAGCATAAAATTCTATGTCGATTTAGCGATGTCCGTCCGTCTATCCGTCTGTGGAAATCACTCTAGCTTCCGAACGAATTGCAGTAGATTAATAAAATTTTGCTCAAATGTATGTTATGTCTGCAGGACGTTTGGTATTATATTGGTATAGTCCCCATATAACGGTACCTCCCGATTTTCGATATTTTGATGATTGTAGCGACATTATTCACTGCAATTGTTTTAAAATTAGTATTTGAAGTTCGTAATGGATGCTACAGCCTATGACAGAAAATTGTCTGTGCAGGTCCACGTCTTAGTATTGACCCCATATAACGGTGCCTCCCGATATTCTGCATTTTGATGATTTTAACGACATTATGCACCGGAATTGTTTCAAATTTTGTATTTGAAGTTCGTAATGAATACTGCAGCCTGTGACAGAAAATTGTCGGAGTAGGTCCACGTCTTCGTATAGTCCCCATATAGCTCTACCTCCCGATATTCGGTATTTTGATGATTTTAGCTACATTATTCACCGATTTTTTTAAGTTTAACATTTGAATATGGCAATGGCTTATGACAAATGTTACCTATGCAGGTCCATGTCGTCGTATAGACCCTAATATAACAGCTACAATCGGTATTTTTAAGATTTTTACAACATTTTTAACGGATTTTATTTTATTTTATTTATTTTTTTTTTTTTGTTTGAGAATTGCCACATTCGTTCCAAATGGTGGAGGGTATTCGATGTTCGGCCCGGCCGAAATTACAGCTTTTTTACTTGTTAAGTTTATATATTTAATTAATTTAGCTTTCTACTTAATGTACCATGCATCCAAATAGCCTGCCATCTTACCTAGTTCCAACTTTCCATTTCCAACATTTGAGGTATGAACTTTGTCCATTTAATTAATTAAAAATGTATGGCTCAAAATTTTGAAAATAATTTTGCAAAATGGTTAATTTAGCTCCTTCCAAACTTGGTTTTCCAATCATCATTTATATGGTGTGTGTGTGTGTGTGACCTTTGAACCATAAACTAACTCATCGTTAATCAAATGTCAAGGTTAGTTTGAGATTTTATCCATTATGGAGAGTGCTTCAGGTTTTGTGTTTTGGCTTTTAGTTTAGCTTGGTATATAAAGGGATGGGTAATATGAAGAGCTTAGCAATTTCCAGGAAGAAGGAATATCGGTCTACAGGGTGAGATAAACAAACTGCAAGAAAGTCGAACTCCATGATTTTTACATTTTTTTTTTTTAATTTTATTGAATGAAAGCAAAAATTGTCGGAAATTTTAGAATAAGTTTAGAAGAGCGACCATAGGCTGTTATTGCGGTCCACACTACCACGATGGTCGGTGCTTGAGTTCTAGTGGTCAACCGAAGGTGCACATTTTCAGCTGACCTCTTTGGCAAGTAAACACGATCATTTTGTTTGTTTACAAGCTGTTTTCTCATCGGAGAAAACCAAATTCGACAGTTCACCACTTTCGGTCAAGCAAATCAACTCTTTAGCACTTTTGAGTCTATTTTCCCACTGTTGCGATATAAATTCTTGCACTTTTTGGATTTCCAATAGCTATACCCCGAGCTCGAGCTCATTTTTAATATTTGCCAAATGGAATATTGCGATATGTTCAGCTCACGAGCCATTTTTCGGCCACTGTCTTCAGGACTTTTGGTATTGAAAATGGGCAATGTACGGTATAGCCCCCGAATAATGGTACCTCCCGATATTCGGTATTTTGATGATTTTAGCGACATTATTCACCAGAATTATTTCAAATTTGGTATTTGAAGTTCGTAATAGATGCTACAGCCTATTACAGAAAATTTGCAGGTCCACATTTTAGTATAGTCCCCATATAATAGTACCTCCCTATATTGATGAGGTTAGCTACATTATTCACCGATTTTTCTTCAAGTTTCGCATTTGAATATTGTAATGACTTATGCAGGTCAACGTCGTCGCTTAGACCCTAATGACGGCTACATTTGGTATTTTTAAGATTTTAACAGAATTTTTAACGGATTTTTTTTTTTTTTTTTTTTTTTTTGGAATATTGCCAAATTCTTCCCGGAGGAACTTACAGCTTTTTTATTTGTTTTATTTGTATTATTCCATTTGAAATTGGAATTATTGCCCTGAAGTAAGCAATTCGCATTATTTTATTTCTCATTTAAAAATGCAAATATGAAATCAATGCAAAATGGAGGGTATATTAGCTTTGTCATCCCGTTTATAACTTATCGAAATATTCATAATAGACCCTACAAAGTATGCATGTCTGTCCGTCTGTTGTATCACGCTATCTTTCGAGCGAATTGAGATCGAAGGCTAAAATATTGCATACATGCATGTTTACTAGTAGGCAGGTTAAGTTCGTGGACGTCGGTCCACGTTTTATGTTCATCAAAATCCAACCTACTTGAGCTAATATTACACTTTTTAGGCACAATAAACGTGAAATCGGATGAAGATATATATGGGAGCTATATCCAAATCTGAACCGATCTCGGTAAACTTTAGCAAAAGTATTTATATACTGTTTCTGATAGCTGGCACCCATTGTGGGAGGGAGTATTTAACGGGTGTGAGGGAGTAAAATACAAAACTGGATGAAACATATGTATGGAGTTTACAGCTATATCTTAACCTATTTTCATCAAATTCGATACACTTTCTTCCAGACTAAATTCGTTTGTATGTGCCAAAATTCATTCAATTCGGGCATATATTAACCATTTGGTGAACAATAAACTTGAAATCGAGATAGAGAAAATATATTTCGGAGCAATATCCAAATCTGAAGCGATCTCGATAAAATTTGGCAAAGATATTTTTGAGCTGTACGTGATATATTTCTCCGAATATCGTTGTTATGGAGTGGAGATTATGGCTGGATATTA